GGGGGGGGACAACCCCGCACCCCACCAGCCATCTCCACAGGTGCAGGCCCCCCTCTGGGCCCCAGGCCTTCTGGCAGAGCCAGGATTTGATCTCCTTCCTGAAGGCCATGAGGGAGGGGGGACACCGCACCTCAGGAGGCAGGATGTTCCATAGGGCGGGCGCTACAGCGGAAAAGGCTCCCTGCCTAGACCCCATTGGCTGATCGTGAGGAGATAGTGAGAGGCAGCAGCTAAAAAGTCCAATGAAAGTTTGAGCTGTTTTGATAAGCATTGTATCCAGATCACAGGAGGTAATATTTTACTTGTATTTTGCCCTGTCAGCTGCCTTTGGGGTTCTGACTCCAGTTCTAGGCATCACACTTTAAAAGGGGTATGGACAAGCTCGAACAGATTCAGAGGAGAGCTATCAGGAAGAGAAGCCATGCTTTATGAAGAAGTTTTAATGGAGCTGGACAGGTTTAGCTTGCAGAAGAGAGAAGACTCAGTGGAGATATTGTAGTGCTCTACAAATATATAAAGGATGTTGCAGGTTGATCTATTTTCTGTTGAAACAAAGAGCAGGATAAACTGGTTGAAATTAATGAAGATTCAGACTGAATATTAGGAGAAATTACTGTTAAACAATGAAACTATTTAAAACAGCGGTGGACTCCCATGGCTGCAGATTTTCAAGTAAGTGTTGCATGGGCACCAGCAGGGGATGTTTTCCTGGATTCTTGCACTGAGCAGAGGATTTGACTAAATAACACACGAAGACCCTTCCAACCCTTAAACTATATGAATCTGTGAGGGTATAAAAAAAGAGGAGGGAGAGATTGGAGTGTAACATTTTGTAGAGAATAGTGATATTTCTGCATTCTTCCATGGTCAATAAAACACATTGCTCGCTGTTCTATTGAAGTTTTCCTGAGCAGGTTAAGAAGCCAGAACCTTCCTCAATAGGCAAAACATAAAACTATGCAATAACAGCGTATTTAAAAGTACTTATTTAGGAATTATTTTATGTTCATCTTCAGTTAAAACTCTTAAGACAGACTACAACAAACTATTAAAAAGCATAAAGTGCAGTAACATGGGTTTTGTTTTTGTTTGGTAAACAACAAAAAACAAACTAGTGGAAATAGCAGAAGCAGCAGAAGCCCAAAATTCAGGATGGGTAGAATGTATACTGTGATTCTGTATGTAGTTGTGGCTTTGAAGTATTATTAAATATGAATAGTTCATACTCACTGTCTTCCTGTATTATATGCGGGTGTTCAAAGAACTGAACTGGCCAAGTTATTACAGATTGCAGCTGGGCTGATCTAACTGTTGGTTTTAAATGGTATACAGTTCCTTGCGAAATATATTTTGGACAGTGTTTCTTTGCAGAAGTTAGAAGCTGCTTTGGTTGCATAATGTTACTCTGTTTGCCATACACTTGATAGAAATGTAACATTCTGTTGTACTCCTTCAGTGTATTCTTTATATAAGTAAAGAACAACTTTTGTGGAACACTGCTAATCAAATTAAGACTTGAGCCAGGAGTTAGTACAGACAAGAGTACTCCAAGCAATTTTAGTTTGAAGAAAGGCATTATTGAAGTAAGTAGGACTTGACTTGTGCAATGTGTTTAAGAATGTAGGCTGTAGTGATTTAATTATTTTTTAATATAATACTTCACCTTCAGATATACTTTTGTAGATAAAGTTAAAACAAGATCTTCTTCTTCTGTATAACATTTGTTGTTAAGACGAATTGTAGGGTAATAGTTATGTTGATTATGGTAAGCCATCTAAATCTGGTCTATGTAGCTACTGAATAAATCAAATATAGTTCTATGGTGACTCACAACAATACACCATTTAGGAAGATTCTGCCTTCTTTCCCGCCTCAGGAGAGCCTCAAGAGAACAACAAACAAAGTTTTTCTTGGTCATGGAAGAATAACTGATTGAGAATGCAAAGGAAGGCTGAATTTCATTTGCCATAATTGGTCTGAATTAAAATTGGGTCATACTTCATGGAGGAATGCAAAAAGGTAGAGGTAAAAATTCCCTCAAGTCAAGTTTTACTTCTGGTGATTCCATGGACACGTCCATATAGTTTTCTTGGTAGCAGTAAGGACATAGTTGGTGTTGCTGCCTTCTGAATTTTTAGGGACTTCCAGAGCTAATCATCAGCCTTGGGATTTCTTGGTGGTTTCCCGTTCAAGTACTAACCAAGTAAAGTCCTGCTTAACCTTTGGAGAGAATTAGTCAAGATTGTCTAGGTGCTGTAGCTAAGATGCAAAACCATGCAAAGAAGTTTTAAAAAGTCAGTAAAGTAATATTCTGCTTTTTTTGAGATTATGGATTAAAGTCTAACCCTTAAGTGGTTTATAATGCATTCAGAATAGAGGTAATCCTCAGTTAACTACTGCCCTGTTTAGCACCCATTCGAAGTTACGTTACTGAAGAAGTAACTTTACAACCGGTCCTCAAACTTATGACTGTTGCAGAGTCCCTGCAATCATGTGCAATTCGGGCACCTTGCAACTGGTGCATATTTATGACTGTCGCAGCATCCCATGGTCATATGATTGCTATTTGTGAGCTTCACAGCCAGCTTCCGACAAGCAAAGTCAATGGAGAAGCTGGCGGTAAAATTGCAAATCACAGACACATGTCTCACTTAATGACCATGGGTGATTCACTTAATGAACACAGCAGAACTGATATAAGTCTGGCATAGTCACGTGATACTTCGCTTAATGACTGCATTGCTTAGTGGTTGCAGGTCCGAATTGTGGTTAAGTGAGGACTACCTGTACAGCAGCAAATAATAAGACAAGGTAACACAGTGAAAGATATGATAGTTTCCCCTTCCCCCAAAATAAGTTTGCATTCATACCATTGTTGTAGTAGGTAAGTAGAAAGATTTTGGAACTTACAAGGTGGCTGGAAAAAGAATCTAAGTTCTATTTACAACTTGGAAATTCTGCATCTATAAAGATTACAATCTTTGAAACCACATAAGATTTAACTGCAAGAACTACCAGGAGAAAGAGGAGGTTAACTGAAAAGCTTTGTCTTTGAATTGCTTTGAAGAATTTTGCTACATTGCTTTGAAGAATTTTGACACTCTTATCCTTGACTTAGACCCTATAAAGATTAGGAAATCATGTTTCAGCTGCTGTGTTTGGGGAAGAGAGGGAGAAGTCTGTAGCTGAATGAAACTGAATTCCAAAGAATGTGCAATTCTTTTGTGGTATTGGTAGCTTACTTTGCTTTTTTCAGTTTGAGTATTCTAGAACCCTGCAGTTCTACCAGAACTTTATGGGGTTCCAGGAGAGATTGATCGATTACATGCCATCAAGTTGGTATTGACTCTTAGCAATCACATAGATTTTCTCCATGACAATCTGTTCCTAACTTTGTGCTTCAAGTCTTCCAATGATGTACCCATCACCACTGTAACTGAGTCCATCCACCTTACTGCTGGTCATCATCTTCTCTTTCCTTCCACCTTTCCCAGCATTAGAATCTTCTCCAGAGAGCTAGGCCTTCACATCTATGAGAGACTAAGTGTAAAACAAACAAACACTTGAACACAGACAGTTTTCTATCTCTAAGCTTTGTTTCTTGACCAGAGATTCATGGAATTTCTTTTTTTAACTAACAGGATCCATGACTTGAAAAAAATGGAAAACCTTGCTTAATTTGTATCTGTATATGAGGCTAACTTTAATCTGCTTATTATAAAATAGCTTTCTTTCTAAACAAACAGATTTTTTTTCATGTATGGACAGCCAGTGTTACTTTTGGAGTTATGTTGATTATTAAATAATGCAGTACTTTTTTGCTGCTTCAGATGAAATACTGGAAATTTGTATGGTAGCTTAAGTTGGCTGAGCAACACATAGACTATGTGGGATACTTCAACCCCGTTTTTCAAGCATCCGCATATTGCTACAATTCTGATTTTCTATAAAAAGAGGCTTTTGGGTTCTGTATTTCTCCCCATACCTAGGCAGAACTGACTCTTCAATCTCCTGCAAGCTACTCGGGTAGTGGAAATCTCAGCATAGTTAGATTTTGTATACTGGCTATGAAGGAATGCAAATTACTGCTTCAAGTGGGGTGAATCTGATTATCTTATTTTACTCAAAATAATTTTATGTGTGTTTTGGTATTCCATTAGCTAAATCATGTGTTGATTTTGATGTATCTATATAATTATCTTACTTTTTAAGTTCTTCCAGTCTACGACTATAACAAATTAAACTAAAAAAATCTGATTTGTAAGAATCTGACTTTTTTGGGTTTTGTTTTCGGTAAAATATAAATTTTACACTTAACCAACATCTCCCAGCAAAAGGATTGAAAATTTTGACTCTGTTCAGTTTGGTGATATAATTGCATTACTAGTCATGTCCCCTGTGACCTTGGAGGATGATATATTTTTTAAATGAAATGAAAATGTCCCATATGCTGCAAAACGTTTACCCATTTCTGGTTTAAAGTAATTCATTAGATTACAGTTTAAAACACACATTTATTTGTTTATAAATCTTTATATGCCGCCCATCTCACTATCAGTAACTCTAGGCAGCACACAGGTAAAAAACATAAAAACATTTAAAAACTACAAAGCATATTAAAAGAGTACAAAGTTAAAAGATGGAGAGAGCATCCTCAAGGTGCCAGCCACCTCAATGTTGGGAGCCCCCATTGGATCCCCAAGCTAGTCGGCAGAGCCAGGTCTTAAGACTCTTCTGAAAGGCCAGAAGAGTGGGGGCCAACCACACCTTAGGAGGCAAGATATTCCACAGGGCGGGGGCGATGGCAGAAAAGGCTTTCCTCCTAGACCCCACCAGTTGAAATTCTCTAACCGATGGAGTCCACAACATACTCCTCCTACCAGACCGGGTGGGACGGGCTGATGTAACTGGGACGAGGTGGTTCCTCAGGTAACCTGTCTCAGATAACGTTGTCTATTTGTTTGTTTAGGTAACTATAGGTCGAGGAGCTGGTGTCACTTACCAGCTGATATCAAAATCCTGTCCACTGATGATCTCTCGGAACCATTGTATTTTCAAGCAAAATGCTGATGGCCAGTGGACCGTGAAGGATAACAAGGTAAACTAATTAGAGGAATTGAAAGATGCTGAATGTGGAAATATAACCTGGAAAGCCATAAGGTTTAATGATAGAAATATATATTTTGTAGGCAATTTTTGGAAACTAGCCTGCTATAAAAAAAAAATATGATTCATAAACTTGTTTATTTGTGAGAACATCATCCAGAATGCAGGATTATTTTGTTTTATAGTATACTTTACATTTATCATCTGGAGCAGGGGTGGGCAAAATGATAAAGGGCCTTTCAAGTTTCATCAACATTAACTAGTATGGCCAGTGGTAAGAGATTGTGGCAACTGCAGTCAACCTCTGGAGGGCCATCTGTTGCTCACCTCTTAGCTGAAGAATTGATGAGGATATTTAATGGGTGATAGCTAAAGGTTAATGTGAATGGAAGGCTCTCCATCACTTCATTTCTCTGCTTGGATGGATAATATCACCCAGCCTGACACATGATTCATTTCATGTTGTTCAGAAAATCCTTGTCTTAAAAGCTTTGGGGAGCAATGCAAGGTGCTGCAGGAGGGAAATGCACAATACCTACTGTATGTCATATATTTTCTAGTGTAATCCTTTTAACAAACAAACTGAATAAGTCAGCAGTTTTTCCCACCTCAGAGCCTGGGCATTCTGATATGGATACCCCCCTCACACTCAATTCAGAAGCAGGGATAAAGACCAGATGTTGGTTCTTGTGGAAGGAGATAGCTCTCTTCTTCAGTTCAGGCCCTGTCTTGCCCCAGAGACCACACAGGGCTGAGAGCTCTGCCAACCATTTGCATGTTCAGGACCATCTCAATAACAGATATTCTGCTGTCTACTTTTCCTTTCTTTTCTTTTGCTTGGCTTTCACTTGCTTTGGGGAGCCCCTAAGCCCCAGTCAAATGACAAGGAAAAAATGAGCAGCAGTCTGATGACGGGAGTGAACAAGGAGTTTGGTCTCCAACAATACAGCATTGCATGCCCTCACTTCTCTGTTCAATCCCTTTAATAGGGACAGCTAACACAGCAGTTCCTAAATTGCCAGCTATGAACCTTATAACTCTTATAGCTGCTGAAGGGCTCATCACTGCTCCTTTGGGATGCCTCATGGCCTAAGCATTGTAGGAAACAGAAGCCAGTAGCACTAGACATCTAATTCCCCACTGCCCTTCTGTCAGGTTCAGCCCAAGAACAGCAACAAGGCAATCCAGTACAGTTCAGTTCCTTTATTAGCTC